ATGGATACTTCCATTCTCTTTGTGAAAAGTAGTGTCTACTTGTGTCACTGAATTCTGAGCTGCGGCGTGAAGTGCGACTTCATACAAATATTAGACCTCCATATACAAACTATCTAGGCTACAGATAATCTAACGGCATTAATAATTATAAAATTAAGTCTAGTAATAGGTATGACAATAAAGCGAGCTACAACTTTATGCAGTTTCCTTTGATGAACCCGCAACCTGCATTTCACATTTTGCCAAATTAGGGATTGCATTTTCGGGCACCAGGTAGTGTTTGAGGCAGGTAGTCGGATTTCTAAACTTGTGTGTTCTGGCCCAAGCTACAATGGGAATTCGTGTCTATGAAAGGTCTAGGATAGGATGTTTGATTGCAAAGCAATATGAGGCTGTCAATCATAAAATCAAAAATAGAAATACTACATCTCGTTCTAATTGCATTTTTAGACCCCAAATTGACATACCTGAGCCTCGGCATGCTCAAGACGTAAATGAAGCCTTTCGAATTAAACATTGCTCATTTGACGGTTTTTTGTCTCGCCAATATTTTCAAGAACCGAAATTATCTACATTTATCAAAAAATAAGAGACGCAATCGGAAAGTACTCTTTTATCGCGATCATTTAGTTGTTGCTATTGCAGATCTTCATTGGCTGTTTCCAGCTTCCGACAGCGTGCAGACAAAGTCTGCTTCACCGTCAAACGCCGTTCAAGACTAGGAGGAAATAAGGTAACTGCTAGAGAGAACAATGGGAATGCTTGCTAGAGGAAATGTTGTGAGCCAATAAATTATCTTTAACGAAGAGAAACAGCCAATGGGGCAGTTTACTTAGCACAATGGAAAAAGGTGTAGAACCTGGTGTACCTACTTGGAGTAGGAGCTACAAGAGGTGGCGAAAATTGAATTTTTTCCAAATTATACTCTGGTTTAAATTAAAAGTAACCTAGTGCCACGAAAAACGGCAGTCTGGACAACACCAAATTTATCACCAAATTAGGAGACATTAAACCAACGAAGCACTGACCTGGGCGCTTCAATTAAATGTCCACTCACACATCAGATGCTACGCAAGAACTTTTTTAGACTTACATTCCAACCAACTCATTTATTTGGTCTTTCGAGTCCGCTGCTGCACGACGAAGGCGAGTAACCTTGGCTTCAGCTTTTTGAACCCTTTCCGAACCACCTGATAGCTGGAGACGCAGCTCTTTCACCTCAGCCTCTACGTCCTTCCGCTCAGCCACAGCTCGCGCGAGGGCCAACTCAGCGGCTATGATCCGTTGCTCTGGCTCATCAACTCGATGCTAAAGAGAGCGATATGCGTAAAGTAGCTCAACTCCTGTTTGAAATTGACTGGGCACCGACAAAAATTAAAATAACGTTGCGTGTATAAAGACACACGATTAGCGCACATATAAAACAGCAACGAAATGGAGTAAAGGGGGCTTTTAAAATCGTACTCTCTTACCTTAAATCTTACACTTGACGTTTAGACCAAACTCATCGATCCCGTCATGCGTCTTGAGCTGGAAGAAGCAGAAGTTTGCCATATAAAAGAGGTCATATCGAGACTCAATATTGACCTAGACAGCAGAGATACCCCGGTTGTCATGACTCACGAAGCCAAGGCAGCTGCAGACACTGCTCTGCAGCAACTCACCGACAATCTGGCAACTCTTGGGGCTCGTCTTCAATTCGACGTCTCCGGCGCTTGCCTTCTCACGCCCGAAGCCACCAGCCTTGCCGAGAGTGTCGCAAGCATTCCCAAGGAGAGGGAACAGAAAGTCCAGTTGGCATGGGATTGCATAAGCAAGATGTCTGCTGAAATGGCAGCCATCAATGACATTGAGCGACTTGAAAAGAGGGTGCAGACCACAACTCGTGCAAGGGCCAATTCAGCAGCTCTGATCCGTTGCTCTGGCTCATCAACTCGATGCTAAAGAGAGCGATATGCGTAAAGTAGCTCAACTCCTGTTTGAAATTGACTAAGCATCGACAAAATTAAAATAAAGTTGCTTGTATTAAGTCAGACGATCAGTGCATATGATTGCGAAATTCTCCTGCATTATAAAACATGGTGTTATAAAAACCATGAAGACCGAATACACACATTTACTCTCTATTGCAATCCCCGGGGTGAAGCCTTTCAGCTAGAGTCAATTTTGGTCGCGACGTCGTAGCTACCAAGCAAATAATCAAGACACCTGGCGAGAACGAGTAAATTGAGGCATGATCCTACGCATCTTAACGATACCAGAGTACATTAATTACTAAATCAACTACAAAGTATGCAGTGTCCGTGTCGTGAAGTTCAGACTAATATTTTTTTCCAAGAGTGTTCGTAGTATTTGTGCCCTAGGCAGATTGATTTCTAGCAAAAATAGTTAAAATACCAAAGACGTGTTGTTCTCTAAATAAACAAGAGAACACGAGCAGTATTAACAATGTAGTTTGCAATTCAGTCACAGGATCAGTACGATGTTATTTTTTAAAGTTTTTTTTAATTATTAAATCAGTGAATCAGGAAATATCAATATGTCCGCAAAGCATATCATGTTTGTCAAAAGGTCAAGAATTAAATTAACTATTTTTACGTTCAAGTAAAAATTAATGGTTAATTAATAATGTATAATAAGAGGTATAAAATAATGTTCAAGTATGAAGTAACCGAAAAAAATATTGACTTAGAAAGGACCATACGGGTACACATCACATCATGGCCAAGCAACAATGACACACTGCTATTACTAATTAATATTTCACAAAAGAAGCAGAATAACACCACTTTAGAATGCCAGAATAATTTCTTCCCTCAATGGGTATGAACGTATGAGAAAGAAACGGATGAAAAAATTATGGGCCGCTAAAAGGACATATAATGAACAAACTTGATACTAAAACCTTCGATACATTAAAGGCTTACTAAAATCAAATCAAGTCATTCAAAACTTTCGATGTCTAAAAACCTATATTCAAAGCTCAAAATGGTGATCAATTCACAAAAGACTTTCTTGAAATGTCCGCCTTAGGTGTTAACCGGGTTTGTGATTCAGTTAATGCCAGGAATATTTTTCCTGAGTAATTTTTATGCAGATTTACTGCTTGTTCTTCTATATGAAGGCGTAAATTAGATAATTGATTTCTATTTTGCTGTTACAGGTATGCAACATTGTTATTTTTTGCTTTTTGAAAAAAAACGTTATTTAAATATTTAAGAGCCGTCCCATTTTGGAAGCTGTTAACGCATTAAGCCTCCATTGATATTTGGACATATTTTGCTTTAGTTCGGAAATAGTTACTTTACATTAAAACTGCGAGTAAAAACCCCAAATAATTCATTTCTTAGGTGTGAGTTTAGGTTTCCAAAGGCCCTTAAATTAAAAATAGGCTAAGAATATTTTGACTTAGCCCTTTTTACGCAATACATTAATTTTGCGATTATAAAACTTTACGAAATTTTACTAAATCCTATGGACAAAGAAGCATTGCCTTGTCAGATTTTACGTTATTTCTTCAATATTCAATCAATTATTACATTCAAACAGAATAAAAACCGATTTGATTGTACTAAGTAAATGTAGAAAGTCCACCTATATTATGTTTCTGAGGATTCAAAGCTTTTCCATGATAGCACTGTTTTTAAACGGATCAAAAAATTCCTAAGAATTTTTTTGAGCATGGTTGTCACGTATGCGTGACATCTTTTGCTAAGGTAAATCCAGTTTTATCCCTTTTTTTAAATTTTTCAACAGTTTGATTAATTGTTCTGTTTAATCCAAAACAGTAGTGTTGAGTTATCAAGTTGTAATTACTCAGCAGACGAAATCACCTAAAGTCAGGATTAGATTCGTAACTGTTTTTAATTTTCTGACTGAAAATTGTTGATGGCCAAAAATTTTTTTGAATTTGCTAAAACTGTTATTACACTCATCGTCTAGATGAAAAGTCAATTTTAAGTATCATTGAAAATAAATATAATTAAGAGGGTGATTACCCCTTTTTCGTCTGTTTTTTTTTAAACTAAATTGACATAGAACAGATTCTAGACACCTCGGTTAGGCATCAGGGTGCAACTAACGATCGACGTGAAGAAGGTGTGTATTACGAGATATCCTATGTCTTGTTTGTTACATAATTTCCAAATTATCAACCTACACATTTTTTAGGGCCGCGCTACTCTTTTATAAATGACACCTGTTTAAGGGTCAGCAGTTTGTATGCTGCCATACAATGTTACAGATATAGGTGTATTGTGCATATAATATAAGAATATTTGTATTGAGTGCATAGTATAAATGATTCCACTGATAGTCACCAATAAACAATCATTAAAATTACAAGATTTAATCCACTACAAACACTCTGCCCGTGTATGAGCTGTAATCGCTTTGTTAGAGGAATAAAAATTTTAAATAACAAAACCAGGAAATGCACTTTTAAAAGGTTCGTAGATATTTGATGGCCCAATGAAATTATAACAACGCTTGCAATTATTTGTTATTCCGGCCAGAATATTTTAAGGTCACGTTGACTAAAAACGTAAGTACCAATCGAAAACCACTGTAATTCCTAAACCGTTTGGAATAATTTTAAGTTGCACAACTACACAAAAATGATTCATGGCTTTCAAATAATAATAACAAAGCATGTGCCATGCTTGAACTGCAGCTGTAGACAGCAAAAATAATGAAAAACTATAAAGTAAAAGTGTTTAGCGGAGGAAGTCAATCATATCAGCATATTTTTAAATACATTAAATGGTTTATTAAATACTGCATTAAGCTTCAAATTCTTTACATTAAGCACCTACTTGATTAAACATATTGAACATGATTAATTACTTTAAAAAGTAACACGAAATTTACTATTGGACTGTGCTACCTTTATAACGATTGGTCATCATCTGCCTCTGATTAACTGCCTATGTTTCTCGCATGCCATTGGAAGGCAGCTGTAGAATGCCCGAGCCCTAACAGGAAAAAGACTGGTACAACAGAACAGGCTTTATCGACCAATCAGAAGCCAGGGCCACGCGTTAGGCGCCTTCCATCCGAGTCCGCAGCACTGGTCATGCCGCTCATTATATACTGCATCTCATCCATGTCCTTCTCTGGTTGGCTGCCTTCCTTTCCCGCATGCCATTGGATCGCAGAAAGACACGGGATTGGCTGAGGCCAGGTGGTCCAACATGTCTGTGCCCTGATCCAACGCCACACTGCCTCCCCCTTAAGAGTGAAGCTATCCTCAGCTTCTGGCTTGGTTCCTTGCACTGTTGTTGATTTCCCGTGTTGATAAAATATCCAGTTCGACACTCCCCGCACCCCACATCTGGCAGGATAATGGCCA